TTTGCAGAAGAAGATTGATTTGCTTCTAAGAATGTAATTTTAAGCATGTAGGGAAGTAACTCAGAGCAGCTGAAAAGAAAAAGAGAGCAATGACCCTTTGAATCCCTCATCATTTTCAGATCTCTATTTTCTGAAGACTGGCTGAAATCCAGTAGTAAATTGCCCCTAGATTAGGCTCATTGAATCAGCGGGGATTTAGTGAGTCATTTCCTCCATTGATTCAATGGACCTACTCTAGTTGTGACTTACTACTAGATTTCAGTTTCTTATTAGAAAGTTACTTCATCCTCCTTTTAAGCAATGCTTATCTCTAATCTTGGCATTTGTGAAACACTGAAAAGTTTACATTTAAAGGCCTTTCTAAAAGTCAAAAGTTGACTGCTGTCAGCTTTGATGATCTTCCTCTTCATCACAGTGACTGAAATTCAGTTGTGCAGCTTTATGCCATAGCTGCTTTGGAACAATGAAAAGCTTCCTAGAGCCCTCACTCCAGGTTGGAATCCCTAGAGATCCTATCCATCCTGGGGCAGCCTTTAGGAGGAGCAAAATGGAACGGGGGAAGATTTGAAGCTGGAAAAGCATCCTAAGCAAACTTTTTAGCTGTACTGTAAGTACTTCTAAATTCAGTGGAACCTAGTCCTAGTGTAAGTTTGTGAACTTGGAGGTAATATATTCAATATTAACACATGGACCAGATTAAAATCTCATGAATCCCATCCTTCTCTTAGTGCCTTCTTCTCTCTGCAACCCCATCCTTCATTTGTACTAGTCTCTCTTCCTCCCACTTTGGTACTCATTTTGGTTTTCTAAGGGGTGCAGATTCCAGAATCCCCTAGTGAATGTTTGTGAATGTTTGGCGCACACCCGTCCTGAAAATGATGGCACAATTCAAAACCTGTCTATTTCTGAACTTGGTTCTTCATACAGTAGCTGTCAGTATGATTAGTGTCACAATGATGCAGAAGTCAACAGCAGCAGAACACTGATATTTGTATGTTTTGTACCCTATATTTTAAGTCACCCTACCCCATCAATACCCCTAGTTTGTGAGCAAATCCATCTGGCTATTTCAGATATACTAATTAGAGTGCCAAGTTATTTTATTATATAGCATGAAGCCTGTTTTTTTAAGGCAGACCATTCCAAACCAACCCTCCGAATTTGTTGAAAGCCATCTGGCTATTTTTATGTGATGCAGTAATGAAGGGACATACAGGAACTTGGTTTATTTATATAGATTTAAGCTGATTCATCACCTTTTTTGTATTAAAGATGTGAAATGGGAGAGGAATCTTTGGCTGTGGCTTCTAGAAACCACAGCCAATATTGTGACCACTGTTTAAGCAGCATATGATGGTTGGAGTCCAAAACAGTCCTAAATTTTCCCCATTTCTAGTTTAAAAGATTATACTGTTTGCTTTATAGGTCATGTGGCAACTGAAATTAAGAGGAACACTTTTTCTTTTAATTAGTACAGAATATTTTAAGTATCATAGTAATATCAAAAAAGAAAAAACCCTGATTTCTCTTTCTTTTTATGTAGTGAAATTCGTCTTGTAGAGATAATAGAGAACCTCTGTGACAGTAGTAATTTTGAGTGCAACAACATGGTTGAAGAACATGAAGAACATATAGAAACTTGGTGGTTCAAATGGTAAGAAATAAGGTTATGATATCATGGTAGAGATATGAGAGGTTTAGGCCAAAATGGAGTGGACTTAGATAATTAAAATAACATAAGATACTGTTCTTAAATGCAGTTAGCTTGATAAAGTACTGTTAGTTCAACAGAATATAGATGATAGTGCAAATTCTGGACTTAGATTAAATATCTGCAAGAAAAATGGACAAGATGTATGGTTGCAAAAATTCTTTTAGGCGATGAGGGTTTTACTGAATGAATCACTTTCCAAAGGCACTTCCAAAAAGGACGTGCACAAACTAAGGTTTGATATCGCTGTGCACTCTCCATCTCCAACCTGCTGTTGAACCATGGACAGTGTTTCAAATGTTTTAGAACATAGGAATCTAAGGAAAGTAGGTTCTGGACCCTGGAAGGAGTGTAAATTGCAGTCAGGAGGGAGCAAATTCATATCAGTATTTTAAAATTAGTTTTTCAGCCTCCGGCTAAAAAGACATGCAACAAAAATAATTTATTGGACCACACTGAGCCACCAGGACTGAGCTTTTGCAGCACCAGTATTGGCTAATGGCATGCTTTGCTGATACACCTTTTGATAACAACTAGGTGAATGTTTCAGTGGCTTGCAAGAGCTTGATACAGTACATTCTTTTCTATCAGGGTTGAGTTAAATTCTGAGGTCTTCATTCGTGTTGTCACACTGAGCTATTAGATGTTCCTGCAATATATGTGGGAAAACATTTAAAAATATTTATAGGATGCCATTATGGACTTCTGGCTAATACCAAATGGCATCTATTCCATTTGCAACTAAAAGAGACAGTTTATTTGGCTTCCAACTTTGACAGCTCCACCTGGGATCAAAAACACATGTTTGTCCTTCTACACATGGTTGTATAGCTGCTGAGCCTGTGGGCATACGACTAATTCTGCAAAAGATTGGCTTGAAAATTGTTACAACTGAGCAAAAGCAAAGGATAAGGAGGAGCTGAGCTCTTTCAACACAGCATCCCACGGCTCATCAGCGTGAGCTTTGCAAGGAGTCTAGCTAGCTTTTCATACCACCTTTCCTCAGAGTGCATTAGTCTCTACTATATGTGACCTGAAGAATCTGCATGTTACCAGATAATTCATTGCATACATATCTGATAAAATATGCACATTTTATACATACAATGGTACCTCGACTCAAGAACTTAACTTGTATTGGGACTGTGTTCGGAAACATTCTTAAGTCGAAGCACCATTTCCCATAGGAATGCATTGAAAAACCATTTAATCTGTATCTGCTGTTTTTCGTTCTTAAATCGAGGCACTGTTAAGTCGAAGCATTAGTTCCCATAGGAACTAATGCAAAACCAGTTAATCTGTATCTATCACAAGGGGGTGATTTTTTAAATTTTTTTTTCTTCTTTTGACCTAAGGTGAATTTAGGGCAAAAAAAAAGGGGGGGGGCAGGAAATATTTTTTTCTTTTTCTTTTCTTCTTCTTTTTGGTTCTTAAGTCGAGGCTCCATTCTCAAGCCGAAGCAACTTTTTGCGAACAGAGCCGTTCTTAACTCAAATAGTTCTTATGTAGGGACGTTCACAAGTTGAGGTACCACTGTAGACACATATCAAACATGTTTTAGTTAGTGCAGATTCATGTGACAGAATGCCTTTTTAAAAATTAATTTAAAAATCCCTCCTCTGTTCAGATAAAAACACAATAATTAATTTTATTATGTGTGTGCGTGCGCAAACACGTGTATTTATTTATTAAAGAGTTATGTACATGAATTCTGTATTGCTCAGAAAGTTCCTTTTTTTTAAACAGGAAGAAAAAGTACCCTGACTTCTTTAACTGGCTTTGTGTAGAGACCATTAAAGTTTGCTGCCCTGCTGGGACACATGGTCCAGACTGTGTCGGTAATTAAATAATACTAATAAACAGAGCTTGAAAAATTTTAGAATGTCTCACCAGTTAGTCAAAAATTTCATCAGTCAGCATGACCAGACTATAGCCTTGCAATTTATGTTAACAAATTTAAACTAGACACTTGTGCACTTTTATTTATACGTAACAATGTGTACTAACCCAAAACAAATTGTATTACGTACACGGGAATCACTGATTTGGATTGCGTGCCTGTGGGGTCATTAAACTTTTATTTTGAATGCCTTTCTTTTGAATATCTCCAGCAAAAATAAAACTGAAAGCAAAAGCGCCCGGCCTCTTAAGGAGCCACAGTTCCCTCCCACCCCAGGATGTGTCCTCATTCGGTTGAAATTGAGAGCAGGGAATCTCCATATTCTCCAGCATGGGACTACTCTACATTCTCCTAGAGAACTATATCTCTACGTGCCGCTCGAACTCTCTTCTCGTGAGAAGAGGGCAGTTTTCCTTTTGCAATGGGAGGGGGGAGGACTGCAGGATTAGAGAGAGAGAGGCTCATCCAGCAACACTTTTCACTTGTCACAGATGAGTGGACGAATTTTTCAAGCCCTGCTAATAAAGAACTGGAGTTATCCTTTAAACTAGTAGTATGGAGAAGCTTTAATTATAGCTTCATACCATCCAGACTGAATTTTTCTTCAAATGGAATCTTTGTATCTAGAGATGCAACTGGGTAGAGAGGGAGGCTGGGTTTGGCATAACTTGCATGAACTGAGATGAAATTCTCCAGGTAAATTTCTCACAGGAAAGGTGCCTGGTGGCGAATTTTACTTTTCAATCCCAGTAATAATGTTGTAAGTGAAAAGTGGCTGGAATCTTTAGTGATAAGAAACAAGCAGTGCATATGCAGTAGTAGTTTCTGAGAAGGCAAACACCATAACCCTTTCAAATGTGAAAATAGTTAATTAAAAACAAGCATTCTGGGTTATTAATTCAAGGAGACCTTGTCAGGTTGATAGCCAAACATTTTTACATTGAATTTTGAAGAAGACACTGGCTCAAGCTGGTAGACCAGAGAGATTATGCATCTGTAAGATTTATCTTGCTGTTATTTGGAAGAAGAAGAAAAAGGATACACTCAGTTGAGATGAAAATGGCCCCCAATCTCTCCCAGCAGTATTTTAGGAATTCTGAGTAAATGTTGCTTGTTACACTAATTTTTTAAATGATGTTAACTTTATATAAATTGTTGTTTTTAGAAAGTAACACATTGTTCTTGCTTCAAATAGTGTTATAGGTAACGTGTAACGCATTACTTTTAAGCTGTTCGACTAGTTTTATTTATGTGAAATGTTGGAACTTACATTTTGTGTTACTTCAGCTTGTCGTGGGGGATCTGAAAGGCCTTGCCATGGAAATGGTCACTGCGATGGAGATGGCACAAGGGGTGGTGATGGCTCGTGCAGCTGTAAAAAAGAATACAAAGGAGATTTTTGCTTGGAATGCTCCGATGGCTACTACAACTCTTACAAAAATGAGACCCATTCTGTTTGTACAGGTAGGATTTGATTGTTTTTTAAAGTGGTCTGGTAGCAGTCTTAGTCTAAGGAATATATGAGTTCTCTATAGGGAAAGAAGCATCAGACTTGAGTTTTTTTAAAAAATCGTTTCCTCATGCTACATGACACCTGATCTTTTAAGCAAGTTGTGATAATACATAGGGACCTAGATCTCAAAGGAAGAGAAAGCAGAAGTCTCATTAGATCAGAATTTGGGAAAAAGCAAAGCGAAGTCTGCTGTCTATATACCACCCCCATAGTGCTTAAAGTACTCTCTGGGAGGTTTACAATTTAATATGCAGGCTAAACATTGCCCCTCTCCCCAGCAAGTGGGTACTCAATTTGCCGACCTTGGAAAAGATGAGAGGTTGAGTTTACCTCAAGCCAGCTACCTGGATCATTTGAGATTGAATGCAGGTTGTGATCAGAGGTTCTCCTTCATGGCCTCTGTGAATGCACACTAATGGGTTAATCTGCCCTCCTTCCGAACTTTGCAAGTAAAAACAATTCTGTTCCTATCTTTTCTTTTTTTTGACCTCTTCTTCTTTCTTCACTAACAAGTTGTTTCTTCTGCCTGGGGGAAGAGCACTAGCCAGCTTGTTCTTTGTAAAAGCTCTACCAAGCCGGCTTTGGAGCCCTCAGTGCTTTTCTCTTAAAGAAATAAGGTTTCTTCTACCTTAGCAAGGTTACCCCCAGGCTCAAGAGCAACAGCTATCCACCTGTTTGCAATCTTCCTCTTCTGTCAAGAAGGTAGATGACAGCATCTGAGCTTTGCCCTTGGAAAGGGCCCCCTGCAGTGCCAGCCGCCATCCCCGCCTGTCAGTGATTCTCCTGACTGGGGTAAAGCCTCTTTGGAGGTTGGCGTGGAACAGCCCTCTTGCATCAAAGGGCTCGTTCATATAGCTGTCAAGTCTGCAGTACGTTGGGCACATGTGGCCCCAGGGTTACCCTTGGAAGAAGAGAGCGGCCCCTGAAGTTCCTTTCGCCATCCCCTTTTGACAGTGATTCTCCTGACTGGGGTAAAGCTGTGGAGGTTGGTGTGGAATAGCCCTCTTGCATCAAAGGGCTCATTCATATAGCTGTTAAACCTGCAGTGAGTTGGGCATGTGTAGCCCTGCCCTTGGAAGAAGAAAGGGCCTCCTGCAGCTCTAGTCGCCATCCCTGCCTGTCAGTGATTCTCCAGACTGGGGTAAAGCCTCTTTGGAGGTTGGCATGGAACAGCCCTCTTGCATCAAGGGGCTCGTTCATACAATTGTTTAACCTGGAACAGCCCTCTTGCATCAAAGGGCTCTTTCATACAGCTGTCAAGCCTGCATTAAACTGGGCACCTATAGCCCTAGGGTTGCCCTGAGAAGACGAGAGGGGCCCCTGCAGCTCCTCTTGCCATCCCTGCCAGTCAGTGAGTCTCCTGACATGGGGTGAAACCTCTCTGTAGAGGTTGGTGCAGAACAGCCCTCTTGCATCAAAGAGCTTGTTCATACAGCTGTCAAGCCTGCAGTAAACTGGGCACCTATAGCCCTAGGGTTGCCCTGGGAAGACGAGAGGGGCCCCTGCAGCTCCTGTTGCCATCCCTGCCAGTCAGTGATTCTCCTGACATGGGGTAAAACCTCCCTGTAGAGGTTGGTGCAGAACAGCCCTCTTGCATCATGGGCTCATTCATGCAGCTGCTAATTCCGGAGAGAGCAGGTAGCCGAGGCTGAAGATTTTCTGGTAACATGCGGTAAGCCTTGGCTTTGCCTTTGGGGAAAGAAAGGGTCCCTTGCAGCTCCCACTGCCAGCCCTACCTGCCAGTGATATGCCTGACTGGGCTAACACCTTTTGGTGCTTTGGCATAAAACAGCCCTCATTTATCAATGGGCTCATTCACACAGCTGCTGTTTCCAAAATTAGCTAGGTGCCAAAGCAAGAGCTTTCTGGCAACATTTGGCAGCCCTAGCTTTGGCTTTAAAAAAAGGGGGGGCTGCATCTCCCACTGCTAGCCCTGCTAGTCAGTGATATTCCTGTTTGAGGTAGCACCTGTTTGGTGGCTTATAATGTGGCACTAAACAGCCCTCTTTTATCAATGGGCTTGTTCACACAGTAGCCTGCTGCTCTACCTCAGCTGCCAGCGCCTGCATAGGCTCATAGGGAAATGACTCATAGGAGTCAACCCTAGAACCCTGCTACTCTCAGGTAGACCCAAGTAATTTTCATCAGGAGGGTCCTATCATGCTGACAAGTTCGTGCAGAGCCAGTCCCTTTTATCTGGTACAGGAGCTGTGAGCCTTTTCCTCCACGTTTTTTTGCCACCACCACCGCCCCACTCCACCTGGCACTGTTCTGAGCCATGGGCTAAGGAGCGGTTTGTGCCTCCACCCATGCCTCAAAGGTGTAGTGCACCCTCAAACTCGGCTCCGGCAGCAAAGTGTCCGTGGGTTTGACCTAACCTGCTGTTAACCCTTTCAGCTTTCTCTGTCCCGGCAACTGTATTGAGACTGAGCTTGGTCAGGCTCATGCTAAGAAAGACTGCTCCCCTAATCATCAGAAGGACTTACCTTATTCAGCCTGGGACTCACAAGAGACAGAAGGGGAGGAAGACTTCCAACCAATCTTCCTACTCCCATATCAGTTGCCACAGTTAATCACCCTCCTTTACCGTTAACAGATAAAAAGTTCTTTGGTCGGCGTTTTTATTTTCTGGCCGCCATCTGCCGCAGGTGCTGATCATCATGGAATTTGGCATTGCCCATTCTGCGGGTAACTCCTGTGCACCTTTACAGTTAAGGCCTCCCATATAACTAGGAGGCAATGGGGCAGGCGTGTCACGAGTGCACTGCTGCTCGACATGCCTTAAACCTTGTTAATAACTGATGTTATTTTTGGTAGCCTGCCCAAGCAATGGAAGGCGGCACGGTCATTTGCAGAGTAACAACCGCAAGTACCTGGTGATGTTCCCACCAGCCTAGGGCATCCCAGGAATGTCAAAGGCCTCAAACCCAAAGTTACCAACTGCCACCCCCTAGACTTGTGGGCAGACAGCGCCCTGACCAACAAAACCACAGGCAGGGCTGTAAAATGGAATGGTCTCTTTACTGTACCTGACTTCTCTGTAGTTGACCAATCAGTCCGTTTGGCCCCTCATCTTTCCAATTGGTGTTTCTTCACGTCTAACATTTCGGTACTCTCTGTCATAGCTACCAGTGATGCCACTGAATTTGATGTACCCTCTGTCACAGGCCACATTAAGGCCACCTTGACCCATCCACCCCCCCCCCCAAAAAAAGGATGGAGGCCTCTGGCCCATCCTTGATTTTGGAGGCCTGAATTCTTTTATTACTCTACATAGACTCCGTATGGCTTCCTTGGACTCTGTTATTTACATGTTATGTCCAGGGAGTTGGTTTACCATGAGATGCTCATTTTCATGCTGGCATCCGGTCAGACCATCAACGCTTTCTCAGGGTTTCAGTTGGGGGAATCACTTGTTTACCCATATTTGGATAACTGGCTCCTGGCCACTGAATCCAGGTCACAAGCTTGTAAACACACGTCCTTGACATTGTCTCTTTTGTCAACATCAGGACTAAAGGTCAACATAGAGAAGTCAATTTTGCAACCTATACAATATGTAGATTGTATTAATGCAACTTTGGATTCTTTCTTGAAGCAGGCTTTTTCCCCCCTGACAACAAGTCTGAAAATGCATAATTTGTTATGCTCCTTTTCTTCAGGCATTTGATTCCCTGTCCTACAGATACAGCAACTCCTGGGGCTGATGGTGTCTACCACAGCTGTGGGACAGCATTCTCGACTGAGGATGCAGTCCCTTCAAGCCTGGTTTCTTTCCCTCTTTCAGATTTCTTGCAACCACCCATCCATGTTGCTCCAGGTGACTCCGGAACTCGCTTCACAACTGGACTGGTGGAGTTCCCCCCCAACCTATGGATAGCGTGACCCTTTGGTCTCTTGACGTGGTTGGTTCAGTCAGTGGTGGATGTCAATCCGCCAGGCTGCGGGGGGTTTGTCTACACTGAAAAATAACACTTTATTTTCAAGCTCTTCCCATACAGTTTGACTCTAAAATACTCTATGCTTTTTGGCCCATCAAGCCAAACGTCATGAATAAACACAGTGGTATAAAACCAATAACTTTAAAGTAAGATTAATATGATTTTTCAGTTGTTAAATTTGTTTCCTTACTTCTATGCTTTCTGTAGCAGACATATATGTTTTCGCACTTTCCACATCTTCGATGAAGAATTGGTTCAGAAGGAAAGATTCCCACACTTAGGTGCCAGTGGTTTAGGACTACAATTCCCATCTCAATCAAAAGTAAAATCTTTTGGGAACTGCAGTTCAATCTTGGGAACCTCAGAGTAATAACTCATTAACCACTTTTCCACAGACCTGTATAGTGCATTGCTATAGAAACTGCTATAGAAAGTAAAGTGAATGGGTGCAGATGGAAATCTCACCTCCTCTTCTGCATATTTATCTGTGATAACAGCAACCAATTTCCCAGCACATGCATTCCCTCCACATGAAAATTACACAAATTGAAAACTAGCAATCCTGCTCCCTTGAGCTGCAGAATACATCACACTGCAGCTGGTCTTTCATCTACTGGCTCGAGACAAGGGTCAGATATTTCATCTGGTCCTTGAGTCCCTCCACCTCTTGGCTTGGAGTCTTCCCCATCTGTAACAGACATGCTCAATCATGCTCGCAAACCTTCTACCACCTTGACCTACTCTTATAATGGGTAAGCATTCTGCCACTTTGCATCAAGATGACATTTGCCTACTAGGCCAATCCCTGGACAGATTCCTTCAGTTTCTCCTTCACCTGTTTTGCCTGGGACTGGCCCGTTCTACCTGCAAGCTATTTCTCCAAGGCCTGGAGAATATGCGCCCTGCCTATAGCCCATGGCCTCAAGCCCTTGGCGTCAGCATCGCTCCGCTTGCTAAACCTCAAAACTGCCTTTCTCCTGGTGGTATCCTTAGCTTGCAAGGCTGGAGAACTAGCTACACTAAGTGCAGATCCTTGTTTCTGCAAGGTAATCTTACGGCCAGACCTTACCTTCTTGCCTAAGGTATTTTCTGCCTTCCATTTGAACCAGCCAACTGTCCTTCCTGTCTTTTTCCCCACACCATCTTCACTGCTTGAGACAGTTCCACACACTCTAGACATGAAGCGTGCTCTTGTCATATTATGTGCATAGCACTACCACTTTTTATGCCTCTCAGTGTCTCTTTGTCACCTCTGCTGGCTCCTCCTTCGGAGCTCCGGCTTCCTCTCAGACCATCTCTACTTGAATAGTCAAGACCATTTGTCTCCCTATGATTTGGCGGAGACTCCTCTTCCAAAGTCAGTGAGAGCTCACTCTACTAGAGTTGTAGCATCCTCAACAACCTTTCTCCATGGAGTGGACATCTTGGATGTCTGTCAGGCTGCCACATGTGCCACATCTTGCTCTACTGCCTGGATGTCCGGCCCAAGCTGCTGTAGGTTGAGCTACCCTGGCTTCTGCACTTATGCGACGTCCCTCCTCCTGGTTAGTCAGCTTGCCAGTCACCCACTAGTGTGTATTCACAGAGGCCACGAAGGAGAAAGAAAAGTTACTTACCTGTCTGTAACTCTGGTTCTTTGAGTGGTCCTCTGTGAATTCACATGTACCTACCCTCCTCCCCGCTGTCTGTCACGTGTGCCATTACATGCTGGGCAACAGCAGTCGGTTCCTTAGAACTGAGGTACTTGGTGTCGGGGGCGGAGTTATATAGCCAGGTGTAGGGGAGGTCCCAGCACTAAATGCTTAAAGCTGTGAAAGTTTCCGAAGCTGCTCTGCTCGAGCACAGATTAGCCCATTAGTGTGAATTCACAGAGGACCACTCGAAGAACCAGAGTTACAGGTAAGTAACTTTTCTTTCGAGTGCAATGTTGCAGTTTAACCACTGTGCCACGGGGTTCCTGGGAAGCTGCTTGCCTGAATACAGCTAGCCATATGTGCTAGGCAGTACTGGGTGTTGTAGTCCAGAAATCTCTGATATATCCAAACTATAGTAGGCATGTTTAAAGTGACTTATCGGATTGCATGGTAAACTTTTGTAGATGACAGTACTATTGAACATGTGTTCCATAATGTAATTACGCACCAGCTTTTCTATTATGCTTTTATATCGAATATATTGAACCTATATTCCAGTTTCTCTTCAAATCATATTCTCCTATTGATCCTGAATAGGAAACTACCTACTCCAGAAACTTCCTTCCCATGTAGAATATTCATGTTGGGACCTGGGCCCTCCTCTTTCTGCTGCAACTGTAAACTTCTTAAAGCATTGTATGTATATACTGTATGAAGAATTCTGAGTTTTGCTTTGTCTTAACAGCTTGCCATGATTCATGTAAAACATGCACAGGGGAAACTAATAAGGACTGTAAAGACTGCAACGATGGATGGATCAGAAATGAAGAAGCTTGTATGGGTGAGTAAAACTACCTGATATTAAGCTGTTCACACTAGGTACTCATTTTGGAAACGGGATTTTAACAGGGCTGTGTTATAATGTTTTGCCATTACACTGCAATGCAGTGCTTTGGTGGTTGATTAAACTAATTTTTAGGATAAAAGGTACACGAATGCCAAAAGTATCAAATGATCTGTGCTTTCGTTCAAGGGGCAAAATATAAACCTACGGCAACATAAATGTGCTGGACATTACACCCAGTAGCAAGGAATTGCACAGTCAGTTACACATATCCAGAACAACTAATGCATCTGTGGAAGTGCTTTGTGTATAGCACTTTTGCCTCCTCACTAGCGCAGCTGTCATGGGCACAATCTTGAGCTGCACATGTGTGGTTGCACAACAGGACTCTTGCCAGTGAATCATGTAAAGCCATGGTTTGTGCATGCCCCTAGCATGCTATTTTTCCATAATAGGTGGTACATGGGGTGCTCAAACTGAACATAAAATATGGAAGCACACAATTGCAACTTAAAAATTACAAAATCTATGAATAAATTCAAATAAAAGTCAACATAATAATCATATAATACAAATGAATTAATAATAATTGTGTGCCATCAAGTCAGTTCTGACTTATGGTGATTATTTTCAGGGTTTTCTGTATAGAGTACTTAAACGGTGGCTTACCATTCCCCCCCCCTTTCTGGGGGCATCCTTGGACTGTGCAGCTTGCCCAAAGCCACACAGGCTTGCTCTTTTGGGATGCACAGTGGGAAATTGAGGCAGGATAACGATACAGTAAATAATAAGTAGCATAATCCACCTTTAATGTGATCCTAAAAGCAAGATTAACATTAACAACAACAAAAAACCCTATGTTCAACCTTGTTCCATGATATTGCAGCAACCTAGTTTAAATATAGTTAGAAATCCCAGGAGCAAGGGCTTCTAATCTGCTTAAATTTTTTTGCAGATGGCTTTGCTATGGTGCTAAAAAGTCACAGCAGCAAAGGGGCAATCTTGGGAAATGGCAACCGTGGTAGTTCTTCTGTCCATGCTTAATCTGCATTCTGATAAGCATTTACCTCTTGGCTTAAAACATGTATTTTAGATAAAGAGGGCACCTTTTGTAGAGGCCATGTGGAATACAGTGCTTCTGGCTGCTTTCAACTTCCTTTGTATTCTGATCCCCACCATCACCTTCCTGACATATTTTTTGATCTGGTTTAAACTTGGTTTGTCTCAAAACTGGAATCTAAAATCTATTTCAAACCTATGCCAGTTTGGACATAATGAGAAATATGACCTGTCAAACACAACAGGTAGATTGGAAATCAGAGTAGAAAAGCCCAAGATAAAACTATGGTTTTCCTATTACATATAAATTGATCTGGTAGGAGTGGTGTTGATGGGTAAACCCACTGTATTTAAAACTGTTTTGCTTTCTCTGAGTCATGGGAGTAGTATAATTCCCTTAGCCCAGGACCCAGGTTTTGTGCACCTCTGGACTGATGAGGTGTTTTCTAATGACTGCTCCCCCTTGCAGTCCCTTAAAACTTGCTCTCGAAGGCCGAAAGCATCACTCGATGTCTCATAAGCAATGGGAAAATAAAATCAGTGGTCCTTCCTCTTTTCAAGTGTTTCTTCCCCAGTCATATGGTTGTACTAACTTAATTTGTGATCCTTTCTTTCAGATGTGGATGAATGTGCTGTTGACGAACCTCCTTGCAGTAGTGACCAATATTGTCTAAACTCAGATGGCTCTTTCTCATGCAAAGGTTTCCTTTCTCCCTATATATATTTAATTTAGTTTTCATGTTTAACTTAGAAGGTTCCATTTTAAAAGAATATTCAAAGATTCTGGAATCTAAAATGAAATTAGATTTGCTGCATGAAAGAAATTGACTGGCTCCAAAAATGTTTGCAGAGAGCTTTATTTTTAATTTCACAAGTGTGTGGGTTAGCCTGTTATATTTCTTCCTCCTTAAACATTTCTTGGATATTCTTCCTATTCCTTAGCTTGCAGTGTGGCATGGTAGCTGTGCATTTTAACTAGACTTTTCACTTGCATTCATACATCAACCCAGCTGTCATTTTCTTGTTAATGTTCCTTTTTGTGCCTGAATAAGAGTTCATGGAGAAATGCAATCTATAACTCTTGCTAAGTGTAGATGCATGGTGGCAGGGGAGAATCTCCATATGCTGAAACCCAGCATATGGAAAATCAAAATCCTAGCTTGCCAGAACCTACCTGAAACCTTGCACCCATGAAAGAGAGGAGGCCGTGCTGTGAATTGGATAGAATAGCAAGGATTTCCTGGCAAGCTATTTATATCCTTGATCTCTAATGGGACATGGGTGTGTGTGTGGATTTGCTTATTACAGGTTCTCTGCATGCTGGATAGCATCTGAGTGCATGGCCACAATCTTAATGTTATTGGGTCTTTGGTTTAAGTGACTCGCAAATGGTGTTCCCCATTTTTCATCTGAGGCTGACTCTCTCTAGAGCCCCTAAGAGCACTAGCTGAGAGCAGATCATCCCCTGCTTCACTCTCACCAATGTAAAAAGTACAGGGAAAGTCTCCCACAAAGAGTCCTCTGCTTGCTCTTTGATCTGCTCAAGTCAAGACCCCACTGTATTGGGTCTTTGGTTTAAGTGACTCACAAAATGGTGTTCCCCATTTTTCATCTGAGGCTGATTCTCTCTAGAGCCCCTGAGAGCACTAGCTAATAGCAGATAATCCCCTGCTTCACTCTCACCAATGTAAAAAGTACAGGGAAAGTCTCCCACAAAGAGTCCTCTGCTTGCTCTTTGATCTGGCACTGATGACATCATGGAGATGTGGCCATGCCCTACCGTGGGGAGCTTGCCCATGCTTGTAATAACTGCCTGGACTGTATTTTCCCTGCCTTCCCTGAACCTTTCTTGACCTAAGAAAAAAAGAAACAAAATATCCCCCTCTAGTGGTCGAAGGCGGAATAGCAGCTTCCCATTAGTTTCTATGGATGGAAAAGAGCAGATACGGATCAAATGGTTTTCAATGCATTCCTATGGGAAATGCAGATTTGACTTGAGAACTTTTTGACTTGAGAACCACCTTCCAATACGGATTAAGTTCTCAAGTCAAGACCCCACTGTATTGGGTCTTTGGTTTAAGTGACTCACAAAATGGTGTTCCCCATTTTTCATCTGAGGCTGATTCTCTCTAGAGCCCCTGAGAGCACTAGCTGATAGCAGATCATCCCCTGCTTCCCTCTCACCAATGTAAAAAGTACAGGGGAAAGTCCCCCACAAAGAGTCCTCTGCTTGCTCTTTGATCTGGCACTGATGACATCATGGAGATGTGGCCATGCGTGGGGAGCTTGCCCATGCTTGTAATATTGAGTTCATCAAAGGCTTGGAAAATTCAGCCTCACCCCATCCTATTTCATTCCTGCCCCCCCATTACAACCTGCATTATAGTGTGTCTCAACAAAAATGTAGCTGCAGAAAGGGCTTCAACGGCTGTAAAAATAATAGTCAAGAGTGTCTGTAATAACACTTATTACATTAATTTTGTGTGTAACCTTTTCATGAGATACAGTAGTGAGCAGATGAAGGGAAACTGTTATGTGAGACACCAGCTCCAAATCTCTCAAACTTTTCAAGGAAAAATAATGGGCCAAATACTTCATTGTGAGCCCCTTGAGACTATTATTTTGGGGAGCCTAAAATAGAGACATTACAGGATGAGGGGGAAATGGAATAGAATGAGAGACTGACCTTCAGTGAAGTCCTAGAGAGAGGGCGCCCATTTTGGTGAGAGTGGTATGAACACGGTGATGTGTAGGGAAACAGAAGCATTAGATGTTTATGACAAATATTCTTTTATCTACAGTTGTCTTGGAACAATGGCTGAAATTGGGATGTATCTGTGTTCTTATATACTTAAGTAATCAGTGATACAAATAGAAATTTAAAACATTAAACTTCAGAGAACTTGGTATGAGATAAGTTTCCCTGGCAGTGCTGTCCAAGTTAGTGTTACTGTCTTTTGTATATAAGCAAGCATAAAGCACATTTCCTGTAATGAATTTAAAGAATAACCATTTTTCATTTTTCAGCGTGTGATATTAGCTGTTCGGGATGCACAGGAGATGGACCCAGCAAATGTAAAGCCTGCATATCAGGCTATGAAATGAAAGATGACAAATGCACAGGTTAGACATTTGCATTGTATTTATATAGTCATAATTAAATTATTTTGTGGCTCTCAGTCTTTTCACAGCTCAAAATGGTAGCTCAACCCTAGCCCTCAACAGCCATACATTGGCTGCAGTCCTGTTGCACAGCTCTGCCTTCTGCCTGTGCAGGGGGAATCATGTCATCAGCTGTGACAGAGGGCTGCTCATTAAGGGCTTTCTTTTGTGATCTTAGGGTGGCTGTGGCTTCATTGCATTTAGTTTGAGGCATGTGCACCCAGTTGTTGAACAGGCGGAGCTGCACAGCAGCATTTCATCCATTTAGTTGTGCTTCAGAGTGCCACTCAACTGAGAGTGGGATATATAGCTATGTATTGGGCTTTTTGTAGAAATAATAATGATAACTCAAGGTCACATAGAGTTAATGCAATTATCAGTTTGCAAAGTTTGTGTCTTGATGCATGTAATGCTTTGTAGCAGATATTAAAAGATGGTTGCAGATTGAGTAAAGTAGTTTATATTTTGCAAAAATTGTTTCAGCCTAGTAAATCAAAGTTCAGTACCAGTCTGGAGAATTTGGAGGAGGCTCCTCTTTTTCTTTACAACTATTCCTTTGGCTAACTTAGGTAAAGGTAAAGGTTCCCCTTGACATTTAGTCCAGTCATGTCCAACTCTAGGTCATGGTGCTCATCCCTGTTTCCAAGGCATAGAGCCAGCGTTTGTCCAAAGATAGTTTCTGTGGTGGCGTGGCCAGCGCAACTAGACACGGAATGGCATTACCTTCCCGCCACGGTGGTACCTATTTATTGACTCGCATTTAGATGCTGCGAAACTGCTAGGTTGGCAGGTGCTGGGACAAACGACAGGAGCTCACACTGTCACTTGGATTTGATCTTACAACAGCTGGTCTTCTGATCTTGCAACACAGAGGCTTCTGCGGTTTAACCCGCAGTGCCACCACGTCCCAGTGTGTGACATTGGCTAATTTAGAAAGGCCCTTAAGAGGACATGCAACAGTAATGGTAGCCAAGTGAATTCCGATGAAGTGGGCTGCTGTCTACATCAGCTTATGCCAAAGAGAGCATGTTAGTGTCTTGCACAACTACCCTGCCCTCATATAATTTTTTTGTAATAGAGTCATTCCTTGTTCATTGTAAAAGTTGTGATTGTACATGTCACTTAAGTCTTCTTTACCATATTTTTTTAATAGATGTGGATGAATGTACCTTGTCTGAAAAAGTGTGTGTAAGAGAAAATGAAGACTGTATTAATACTCCAGGTGGTTACAAATGTGCCTGCTCAGAGGGCTTTCAAGAGAAAGATGGTGTCTGTATTCCAGCTGTAAAAGCAGGTGAGTGTATTCTGAACAGAGTTTGGAAAGACTTAAGTTGTAAGTTCCAGTTCACCCAGAAAACCCACAGGTGCTGTTAAGCATGTCACCCTTTTACTTTAGCTTACTATTTAACAGGCTGCTTCTACAGGGTAAAGTGTATGCTTACAAAAGGGTTGAAGATAAAGGGGGAGGGGCAGGAATCATGCATATTTACCCACATTCCTTAAAAGGTGGATAAAATGTCATACTCATTATAAGTCTCTCCCTTGCTTTCTTTTTCCTCAGAAGATAGCTGATATGAAAATAGTTTATGATGGGTTTCTGTAGTGCAGAAACTACAATCTCAGTGTGTTTTTAGCCAGAATAGCTTCTTACAATTAGGTGTCTGATGGAAGATAGATATACATGTCTTCTCCAAGCTAGCACCCTTCAGAATAGTTATAACTTTAATTTCCTCCAAACAACAATATGGCAACTTGTATCAAATCCATTTTAAGAGGAAGGCTGCTTTATTTAATGGCCAAGATCCACAATGTACATGGAGTGGTATTTTGTGAGCATGAAGGGCTTACCTTAGAATGCTTTCCATGCAAAGGGTATAGATGCTTAAATCTAATTAAGATTAATTTGTTTTAACAGATGATACACCAGCTAATGTATCTTCATCTGATGTTCACGAGGACTTATGAACTACATTCCAAGATGAGTGACAGTGATATCTAACCCTTAAGTTATTGGACTGAAAAGCCACTACATGAGATAATATGTAAATGGTATTACATAAGGGCACGTTGCCAGTGGACATCTTTTTGGAAACAGAGGGTGAACTGCCCTTACAACTGCATTTCTTTTTTAAATGTAAACAATTGCTACTTTTTAATATTGCCATTAAATTCTCCTAATAGTAGACGTGTCTGGGAACAAAAAAAAATTACAAAAGCTTTTCAGTGCTTTTGATTAAATTGAACTGTGAGTTGCCCAGTTAACCACTAACCTTGTGGGACAAAGTAAAATAAAATAAATTGGGAAACAAAATGCTCTTGGATGTAAACAACATTTCTATGACTAAAACTTGTCTTTTCAATATTAGTAATGGGAGGTTTTATTGGGGGAAGGGGATTGGAAAATACTCTTTGTGTAAATGAAAACAATGTCAGGTGTGACATTAAATAAAGATTTATTTTGGCTGCTTTGTATTCCATGTGCCTTGTTTGCCAGTATATGTTGAATGGATGGAGCAGTTGTAGCTAGGTACACTTTTATGTACATCATTGTTCTTTACAAAGATTAGCTGATATGGAATAAAGAAATGAATATAACAGCTTCTTTAGTCTTCAGGTAGAAGATAATTTTTCTTTCAGTTTCAAGTTTCAGAGTTTTAGGGGATAGTGTAAACTTCTTGGATACTGTATTCAGTATCTCATGAATTTGATTTCTAGATTTGATATACCAGAAATACCAAGAATAATATTTTAGTGAAGTACCTTGTTGTCCAGTAAAAGGGTAGATTTAATTTCAGATTTATTCCTTCAGAGCCGTCTGTTGGTAACTGGGAAGTGAAGTTGAGTAAAAGAAACCTGCACCAAACCATCAAAGATAATGTCCTTCTTCAAAGAAAGTGTGTGTGTAAAACCTCCAGCTTAAATTTTGAGAGAACTAGTGTGATACTGTTGTTGACCTATAATGCACAATACTTCATAGTATTATAATATGTGCGCAGCTTAAAGGATTCTGCTTGCTCACACACACGCTGGTTTCAAGAGCAAGCAGAATCCTTTAAGCTGTGCACATGCTGCCTTCTGTATTGAATCATTCTAATGTTCGTTCGTTCTTTATTTGTATCAGAGCATTGCACAATTCAAAACCTTCGGCACATAGGAAATACACTTCTCCCTTCAATAACGCTGGATTTAGGGGCACTGAACCACTACATGAAATAATATGTAAATAGTATTACATAAGAGTCATTTGGGCACATAGGAAATACACTTCTCCCTTCAAGAACGCTGGATTTAGGGGCACTGAACCTCTGGGTCATTTGAAATCTGTGTATAACTCTTATGCCCTCAAAAACATAACTACAAAATATAAACGGTTGATTAACACACACAGTTCTTCCTATCGGGGTTTTCTTCCATAGCATTGATAATCCTTTCCATATAGTACTGTGTGTAATAAGCTTTAAAGATCTTTATGACTCCCTGACCCAGAGGCTGAATTAGAGATGTTGTGTTCAAGGTTAAGTACATCACTTCAAACTCTTTGATGCTGAACCTATTGCACAGTATTTATTGCATACTTATTGAATATTTGTTTATTGAAATACTTAACAAACAACAACAAAAAAGATCTGTGTACAGTGTAACCAAAAGCATCCTCCTCAGACCTATGCAGTTCAAGGGAGAAGTGTATGGGCAAAATAAAAAATTGGTTAAAATGTCAAGACAATCAGACTGTTTTTGATCAAAAGCAGTCAGAGCTTGAGATGTGTGCAGAAACTTTTCCTCAACTTCAGCCATCCAGGGGGTTGTCCATGAAGGGAGGCGGGTTTGGTGCTGTTTCAGAGCAGTGCCTCTGGAAGTAAAGGATTTGCCATCTGCATGCCATTGCCCAGTCGATGTCCGAGTGTACTCACAATGCTTTCCCACTCTTCAGTGAACTCCTCTGTCCCCTGAAACATTCCTCTGAATGTTACTGTACCCATACCTGGGACTCTTTGCCTTAGTTCTTTGGGTGCTTGATGGTTGGCATATACAGTACCTTTACCTTTCTCCGTGCTGAAGATGCAGCTTATGACCTAGGACCACCACCACATCATACAGCAGTCCTTTTCCACGCTATTTTTCTTGCCCCATTTTTTAAGGGAATCTCGCAAATGGGATCTTGGGATGGTTGTGTGGAGACTCAACACGTTACTATATACATCAGAACTTGCAAGTTTATTAATAGCTGAATCTTTCATGTTAGAGGATTGTGATGAACTGGATAAATGGATGTTGAGTGTACTGCATGAGTACTGAACTGCTTTATTTTGCATGTACAGCATAGATTAGTGAACATGTGCAGACTAACTGCAGAGGTGTATGCACTTAAGTCGAGTCAGTTTGTTCATATCAGAAAGGTGAACACTGATTTTTTAAAACTTCTGTTTTCCATACAGCAACCCTAGTGTCACATGTGTTGTTTTTTTCCTGCATCATTCAAGGAGGTAATGTTCCCATTTGGGAGAAACATCCATTAATAAACTGGGGGAAGAACAACACCTGAAAGTACCTCTCTTCTGTTTTAACAGGCTGTAGTGTAGTATTTGAATGTTTCCACTTTCAGCCACAAGAGGGCATCTTTCAGTTGCTGCAAGTACAGCTGAAAAACTGAGTCAGCAATATTAATTTAGGATGTCCAGTACCACAGCCAAAGAGAAACTAAGAATATTGCCTTCTAGTACTGAGAGAATCATAATTCAGATAAAGCAGAATACCTTCTGTATGTTGTATCTACTTTCGCCTATTGCATTAAAAATAAGATTCTATTGGGAAGTTTGTTCCCATGGTAATTACACTCTTAATATTGCATCCCTTTCCTGCATTTTTCCTGCAAATAATCAGTGTGACAGGCTAAAATGAACACTCCTTTAGCAATGCATGATCAGTGCAAATTCAACATAGCAAGGCCCATAGAAATATGCAAATGACTTTGAACAGAACATTTTCTATGTGTAATCTGTCTTTGAATTCTTTTTCTAATGTGAAAAACAAAGAGACCATATAAATGATGTTCTCAATCTGCATCTGAGAAGAACCTTCCACAGCTGGAACTTTCATCAGGGCAGTTCCAATTACCAGAGAAATCACCTGCTGGGGAGAGGAAAAGCAGCTTCCCTTTTCAGCAGTGATCATGGTGGTTCCTCGCTCTTATCCTTGCTTGGCTTATGAGAACATGTTGATTTCATGCAGGCACATACACAATACAGAGGGTTCTTTGTCTAGTGTCACATGTGCTCTGCTTTTTTGTAAGATTGAGAGGCTAATGTTCCCATTTGGTAAAACCATCCATTTAATAAACTGGATTTAAAAAATTTAGCATGGTTATGAGTGAGGTTGCTACTGAACCTTAATGTTGGGAAAGTGTGAAGGCAAGAGGAGAAGGGGACGACAGAGGGTTCTTTGTCTAGTGTCACATGTTCTGTGCTTTTTTGTAAGATTGAGGGACTAATGTTCCCATTTGGTAAAACCATCTATTTAATAAACTGGATAAAAAAATCTAGCATGGTTATGAGTGAGGTTGCTACTGAACATCAGATAGCAAAACATTAGGCTGGACCACCAAGTGAAGAGAAATATTGAGTATCTAGAACTTTCCTGCTTTCTCCTTGCTATGATTGCATGTGTCCTCTCCATTTAAAAGATAAAATAGTGAGAAATTCATAATTTGGCCACCCAAGAAAAGTTGCAGTTTTCTTGTCCAGGGGAAACTAAGTTAACTCTCTTCCTGTTGTTTTTCCATTACCAGCAGGAGTCTTTGGCATTTGACTTTGAGCACCGTGCAAAAGGGTTTTTTATTTAGGCAAGTGATGCATTTTGCCTTAAATTCCGTATTCATATTTGTATCTTTCTGTTCATTTTTACTTTTTCACTGCAAATCATTCAGCTTTATTGCAACCTACTTTCCATCCTATTCCTTGGAAAAATATAAAATTGATATGAATGGTTTGATTTGTAGATCAAATTAAATATGTCAGTGGCTGAAATCTTGTTCTTTAGTATAGGAAGTTGCAACTCCAGTCCCGTTTGAAACAATGGAACTTATGGAGGCGTTGACTCACCAAATTCTCACTGATTCAGTGGGTCTACTCTAGTGCAAAGTAGTATGCTAAACAGGAGAAAATCAAGGTACAAGCAAGAATTTTGTCTACTGGGAAAATCCGGGGGGCGGGGTAGGAATTTCTTGTATTCTTTGCTAGTGCTCAGTGCTAGTGCTTTGCAGAGTGGCATGTTTTCAATTGTTCAGCATAAACAAGGCAGAAAGAGATGTTAGAAGCAGTTACCATTCAATCCTTTAATGATTCCTAGGACAGGTTTCCCAGACACTTGAACCAAGACAAAAGATTTGTCGCAGAGTACTAAATGCTAAATGTAGTTCTCAGCGTGGTGTAGTGGACAGAACGACAGATTAGGGCTATAGAGACCAGGGTTCGAATCCCCACTCAGCCATGAAAATTCACTGGGGTAGTAGAACTGATAAAACCATTCCTTAAAAAATATTTCACTTTCCTTGAAAACCCTGTTAGGGTTGCTATAAGTCACTTTGACTTGACAGCACTTATCAGCAATGCTAAATGTATGCCTAATTGACATTCAGATGCAAAGAGGGTTTTTTTTCTCCCATGGGAAGTCATAATTCCACTATAATACAATGCCGGGTGTACTAACTTCAAGGAACCCTTTGCATAATTTTGGTTGATTAGCTGTAGATGGAGAAAGGATACTCAGCATTTCTTAGTGGGTAAAATGAGCATTCCTTCTTTTGGGTAATTTAACCATGCATCGAGCTGCTTTTGTTTTCTTTAAGGAACCTTATCACAAGGAATGGCCAATGATATGAATCAGATTCACCACAGTTAAATATCCAGAGGGGGAAAGTATGCATAGAGCTAGCTGGATGTAGAGAGAGCTAAGGCTGAGCATACATTTTTCAAAGAGATCTGCATTGCGGTTTCTTCCAGCAAGAGAAGAGCAAATCAACCCCCCTTTTTTCTTTCTCTTTTGAATTGGCAGTATTTTTGGCAGGTAGAGCAGTGGCTTGCCAGCATTTCCTAGAA